GGCCCCACCAAAAAAAAGGAAAGTTAATAGCTATCTTTTAACCACATTTTTAAATAAAGTCTGTAAATCTAGAATTTCAATACTTAAAAAACAATTGTAAATATAAGTGTTATGCAAACAAAAAGAGCAGTATGGAGAATGTGGAGGTATTTTATTGCAGTTTGAAGTTATTTAACAAAAGGTGGCTGACTTGTCAAACTCACGGAAAACTATGCATAACATCACTTCATTTTTATTTTGTCGTGTTGCTTCCAAGTAAATGTCTACTTCCAACACGCTAGAGACAGACATTTTCGTTTAGCCTTTTAATTTGGTGTTGCCGCCATGTTGCTGTTTCTACGCTGTACTGGTTGTTACCAGGTTACAAAAAAATAGCATGCTCAAATCAATCAGATAAGACGAATCAGAAAGCAATATGTTGTTTACGACATTACAGAGAAGGTAGCATTTAAAGATTTGAAAGCACAAACTTAAAATGCACTCAATTGACAAATAGTCACAGACAAATTAAATGTTAGTGACAAGGCAGAACTGTCCCAGTGGGCCAGCAATGATCCGGTCTACTGTCCCAAGTGTCTCTCACGCTGGCCCTGGGCCACCGGGCAGTCCTTATTGTTGAGCCCTGCTTATAATGCATATGATTTGGATAACACCTCTCCAATCCAGTTCTAGGAATCTGAGTCCTCCATAATACACACACTTATTAATTATTCCTACTTGTCTTCCTCATGATGGAGAGTATGTGCATTATGTGCCCATAATGCCCATTGGTTAATCTGGCCCTGCCCATCACTACGTCTCACCTCACAAGCAGCCTTGCACACATATTGTATTTAGGGCTGCTTTCTTGTGAGCTTTTGAATTTGAGCATGGGTAGATGGTTGTGGTAGATGATAGTGTTCATGTGTCCTCTGAATACATGTTTCAAAAAATGTTTGACTGTTTTTAATTATACAATATTTATCCTGTTGATTTTGAATCTTGTACCTAACAAATATCCTCATTTAGAAAAAAAAACTGAAACTAATACTGAAACTAATAAAAACTAAACTAAAACTAAGACATTTTAAAATATAGAAACTAATAAAAACTAGGAAATCTGCCTCTAAAACTAATAAAAACGAACTGAATTTGAAAACAAAAAGTCAAAACGAAATAGAAACTAAAACTAATGAAAAATCCAAAACTATTATAACCTTGACTTTAAGCTGTAGAGAAGTGTCTTGAAAAATATCTAGTAAAATATTATTTACTGTCATCATGGCAAAGATAAAATAAATCAGTTATTACAAATAGTTTTCTAAAACTATTATGCTTAAAAATGTGTTGAAACAATCTTCCCTACATTAAGAAATTGGGGAAAAAAAATAAACAGGGGCGCTAATAATTAAGGGGGGCTAATAATTCTGACTTCAACTGTATATATATATATATAAATTAGGGCTGTAACAATACACGATATAAAATCGAAATCGCGACTCTCAGATCTACGATCCTGTGTTGCGGTGTGATAAGGGAGAATCGCGACACACCCCATGATACCTTTCCAATAACGTCACGCGTGCCTGCAAAAGTTGAGCTAATTAACACTTTTTTTCGTTCGACATTACAAGCACTGCTCCGTTTAAGCCCTCGCAATATTTAGCCGGGAGAGCTCGCACGGAGCTCATAGTAAGGGACCGTCTGAATGTGTCAGGAATATCAAAAACAAAACCAACTTTACCCCGCTTGACAACAGACAACGCCAGAAACATTGCCAATGCTGTCAAAGCGGCCGGATTTTCAGCGCATACGATGATTTGCTCACACTGTTAATGTGGCTGCGCAGAGAGGGATGGGCGTTCACCAGATGTCAGGTAACAGCCAAACTTTTCTGTAACCGTGCTGTGCGCTTTCTGTTTGAACCTTTGGGAGTGCTGACTGACAGGTGCGACGAAGCTTTCAGTTGAACACAGTTTCTATAGTTATACTTTATTTAGAGATAAAGGTATATGACTCTGCATATAATCACTCTATCTTGTTGGAGTTTATAGCCGTTTCGCTTTACTTCAGGACGCATTAACGCCGCTCTGAAGGTCTAATCGCTGTTTTAGGTTATCCAGAGCTGTATGAATGTACAAATATTGAATATCACAATAGTATTAAATATTACAATTGTAACAACACAGACAGCAACACTTATGCACAATCGATACCCAGCTGATTCAGTCGTTTCATGAGAGGACCGCGCAAGAGGTTTCCTTGTCAACATAAAGGCAGTAAGGTGCGCCTTGTTTTCGGCCACTTGTTTAACTGCAAGGCATACTTAATTTGCGGGACGATAATGTGTAACCCGTGCCTACAGACACATTTGCCAAAGAAGCAAAATGGAAGAAGAATATTGCCGTTTGATACAGACCTGTTGGTGCTTAACCAGCGCTTATGTTGACCTGGATCTGCGTAATAAACGCAACAAATAGGCTTTACTTTTTATTTTACAGCTTATAAAGCATGTATGCACATTAATGCAATATCATATTTAAACAACAAAACTGTTTCAGGGCTCGAAATTGCGACCATTTTGGTCGCATATGCGCCCGAAAAATTAATCTATGCGACCTCATAATATATCTGGGAGCATTAGTGCGACTGCAGATAATGGTTGTAGTGCGACCTGTTTTGATTTTTTGTAAAAACGTGCTGAATCGCTCTTCCCTGCCGCTATATTGGTTCATATTAGCTGTCATTCACTCAAGGTATTCCGCTGTCAGATGACAGGGAAGGAGCTTTTATGACCACGGGAAATACAAACGGCTGAAGAGTAAAAACTTAAAGCACACAGGTTTAAAGTTGAGGCGCAGATGAGAGCCATCATGACACGTCACGTGGTGAATAATGATCCGCCAGCTGAGATCAATCGAGTACGCGCTTCTTGGAGAAGGTGCCCGAATCTCCATGCGTTGCATTCACTGCGTGTTCAGCGCAAATGTCCGCTAAAAGTCAAATCTAATACTGTACATATCATCGCCAAAGAAGCTCGCCTTTACTAAGTTTACACTGAAACTGCGGCTCATAACAAAGACCGGTATTGCGCCGATGGTGAGCGCAAGAATCCTGCTCTGCCTGCTCATAAATTGGGTCGGCTGACTCGCCTGCTTTTCCACTTACACAGAAAAATGAAGATCATCTCAGACTGAACCTTTAAATTGACACAAACTGAAACCAAAACTTTTAAAGAGTGATAGAAGTGAGACTTTACTTACTTTCATCATTGAATTTAATGATTTATTATAATCTTTTGTTTGTTTTGTAGCAGAAATATTATTTATTAAATTGACATGCATATAAAAACAGCAGTACAAAATAAATATTTCTTACTGCAATGCTTCATTTTTGTTTGATGCAAACTATACAATTATTTTTCATAAAGTAACAGACTTTTTATAGCAAATAACTTGCATTCAAGCACATTCAAGGCAGTATCATAATGAGAAATGGAATTCATTGTTGCTATTATTGTCATTTTTTATCATCATTAATATTCTATTGCCTAATTATTAGACATTCATTTTGGAATTATTGCACACAAATATCAAACAAATATCAATGTCCTCGCAGCATTAGTTAGATAGTTGTTTCTGGTTTTTGTCAGTCCTATTAATGTTGTTTTAAAATACAATAAATCCCTTAAAAAACAATTTGCAGCGGTGCTCATTCATTTTTGGTGGGTGCTCCTAAATTTTTTCTGGCGCTCCTAAAATTTTTTTGGTGCTCCTAAATATTTGAAGTTGGGAGCACCGGTGCTACCAAGTAAAAAAGTTAATTTCAAGCCCTGTGTTTACAAAAAGTCTACATATGCGCGCGCGTTGTTGTCTTTTCATCACGCAGCGCGCGCACTTGAACCGCGAGGGAGAGAGAGGAAACCATAGACTATATCAGGACATAATCTTTAAAATAATGATTTCTATTAAAATGTTAAAGGTTTTGTGATTATAATAATAACAGTGGGGCATTAAATAAATGCATATTTTCCGTGAAGCGAGCGATTTGAGGAAGTCTGTTATTTTTATTTGACGGAAGAAAAAAAATATGATTGGAAAAAAACAGCCTATGCCGATTATTAAAAAGAATCAGTAAGTGTTTTCGTTTTGTAATATAAATTAATTATTTAAGTGAAAATAATTTAGGGCAGTCCTATTTATTTTATTCATTTTATTTAGTTTATTTTGCTCTTCTGTGCTAAACACTGCAGATGCGTGAAGATGCTCTGTTGTATTGTTCTATTATTAATAAGCTTGCATTTAAAAATAAATCAGTATTTTATGCAATATTTAATGTGTCAGACACAAAATAGACACGTCAATTTGTTTATTATAAAATTAGTAGTAATCTGACCAGTTAACCGGTAATAACCGATTAATGAGCGGCGGTTGTCGGTTAGCAAAATTAACGAAATGAGCATCCCTAGTAGCTATTTAATTTACTTTTTCTATGTAAGAGAACTTGATTGAAAAAGAATTTTCAACATGCTTGAACCATCTACACAATGGAGTTTAGTTCTGTTTGGTTTTTCAAAAGTATTTTGTTACAAAGAAAACAGAATACGAACCGAATCGTGGGTCAAAAATCGTGATACGAACCGAATCAAGGGTTTGGTGTATCGTTACAGCCCTAATATATATATATATATATCGCCACTGGTGTGAAGTCTTAAAATTGTGCAAAAAAAACCCCTGATGCATTCATTTTGATGTGCAACAGCTGCTGTGCTCACAGTTAAGCCCAATAATAATGCATGCAAAGTTCACTTCTCAGTATAGAGATTGGCAATTATTAATCAGATTTGTAGAAAGGCCAGAAATCTACAGTTAACACACGTGAAATAAAACATTATGCATCAACACTTTTTATATCTAAACTTAATATTCATCTCAAAACAAATCAACAATTCTAACCTGTCTCAAAAATTCAGTAAATATTTGATAAATGCAGGCATGAAATGATAAAGTGCAGTGACTTACCTTTCTCGGTGCGTCTGAAACATTCTTACTGGACAGATGAGGGTCTTTTTCTGTCATTAGGAACGGGAGAATAAAAACAAACAACATAAATTCACTAATCCACTCATTAAAATAGAAAAACACGAGCATTATAGACACTGCGAAAGTCAACTGATGTATTCGGGTCAAGGTCGAGGAAGAAACTACGCCAATACATCAACCTCCTTACAAGTTTACATAACAATTTAGTCATTTAGTATTGAATTAAACGCTATATTTTGGGTTTAATTAATCGTTTTAATCACGAAATTATCAATCAAGCCAACAGAAGCATGCTTAAATGCAAATAATCCAAAAACAATTCATTATATTATTTAAAATACTTATAAAGTATATTTTAGTCACCATATATCTCTATACTGAGGGGCTGACAGACATTGTCTGATGCCTTGCTTTTCTGATTCAAATATGAGCTTAAAAAGCATATATGCATAACAAAAAGAGTGACTCGTAATATTTATACACACAACTTTTTTTCCAAGTGACTTTTAGAAGCAGATAAACGATACTAGCAGTCATAATGCAATGCAATAACATTAATAATGCACAATACTAGCAGTCATAATGCAATGCAATAACATTAATAATGCACAATACTAGCAGTCATAATGCAATGCAATATCATTAATAAAGCATAATACTAGCAGTCATAATGCAATGCAATATCATTAATAAAGCACAATACTAGCAGTCATAATGCAATGCAATAACATTAATAATGCACAATACTAGCAGTCATAATGCAATGCAATATCATTAATAAAGCATAATACTAGCAGTCATAATGCAATGCAATATCATTAATAAAGCACAATACTAGCAGTCATAATGCAATGCAATAACATTAATAATGCACAATACTAGCAGTCATAATACAATGCAATCTCATTAATAAAGCACAATACTAGCAGTCATAATGCAATGCAATATCATTAATAAAGCACAATACTAGCAGTCATAATGCAATATCATTAATAAAGCACAATACTAGCAGTCATAATGCAATGCATTAACATTAATAAAGCACAATACTAGCAGTCATAATGCAATATCATTAATAAAGCATAATACTAGCAGTCATAATGCAATGCATTAACATTAATAAAGCACAATACTAGCAGTCATAATGCAATATCATTAATAATGCACAATACTAGCAGTCATAATGCAATAACATTAATAATGCACAATACTAGCAGTCATAATGCAATGCAATATCATTAATAAAGCACAATACTAGCAGTCATAATGCAATATCATTAATAAAGCACAATACTAGCAGTCATAATGCAATATCATTAATAAAGCATAATACTAGCAGTCATAATGCAATATCATTAATAAAGCATAATACTAGCAGTCATAATGCAATATCATTAATAAAGCACAATACTAGCAGTCATAATGCAATATCATTAATAAAGCACAATACTAGCAGTCATAATGCAATGCAATATCATTAATAAAGCACAATACTAGCAGTCATAATGCAATATCATTAATAAAGCACAATACTAGCAGTCATAATGCAATGCATTAACATTAATAAAGCACAATACTAGCAGTCATAATGCAATATCATTAATAAAGCATAATACTAGCAGTCATAATGCAATGCATTAACATTAATAAAGCACAATACTAGCAGTCATAATGCAATATCATTAATAAAGCATAATACTAGCAGTCATAATGCAATATCATTAATAAAGCACAATACTAGCAGTCATAATGCAATATCATTAATAAAGCATAATACTAGCAGTCATAATGCAATATCATTAATAAAGCACAATACTAGCAGTCATAATGCAATGCAATAACATTAATAAAGCACAATACTAGCAGTCATAATGCAATAACATTAATAAAGCACAATACTAGCAGTCATAATGCAATAACATTAATAATGCACAATACTAGCAGTCATAATGCAATGCATTAACATTAATAATGCACAATACTAGCAGTCATAATGCAATAACATTAATAATGCACAATACTAGCAGTCATAATGCAATGCATTAACATTAATAATGCACAATACTAGCAGTCATAATGCAATATCATTAATAAAGCACAATACTAGCAGTCATAATGCAATAACATTAATAAAGCACAATACTAGCAGTCATAATGCAATGCAATAACATTAATAAAGCACAATACTAGCAGTCATAATGCAATGTAATCTCATTAATAAAGCATAATACTAGCAGTCATAATGCAATAACATTAATAAAGCACAATACTAGCAGTCATAATGCAATATCATTAATAATGCACAATACTAGCAGTCATAATGCAATGCAATCTCATTAATAAAGCACAATACTAGCAGTCATAATGCAATAACATTAATAATGCACAATACTAGCAGTCATAATGCAATGCATTAACATTAATAAAGCACAATACTAGCAGTCATAATGCAATATCATTAATAAAGCACAATACTAGCAGTCATAATGCAATGCAATAACATTAATAAAGCACAATACTAGCAGTCATAATGCAATATCATTAATAATGCACAATACTAGCAGTCATAATGCAATGCAATCTCATTAATAAAGCACAATACTAGCAGTCATAATGCAATAACATTAATAATGCACAATACTAGCAGTCATAATGCAATGCATTAACATTAATAAAGCACAATACTAGCAGTCATAATGCAATGCAATAACATTAATAAAGCACAATACTAGCAGTCATAATGCAATGTAATCTCATTAATAAAGCACAATACTAGCAGTCATAATGCAATAACATTAATAATGCACAATACTAGCAGTCATAATGCAATGCATTAACATTAATAATGCACAATACTAGCTGTCATAATGCAATGCAATAACATTATTTTAAATGCACAAACATGCAATAAATATTTACACTTTTCTAATTAACATCTTAACATATCAACAACTTAGATTTTATACCAACACATGCACTGAAAAAATGATTTATATATGATTTAATAGTTGGTGTTTTTTTAGGGTAAGTGGTTGCAAACTACTTATATGGGCTGAATATTTAAACAAACCCAATTAATTGAGTAATGTTCAACTTAATTTGTTAGTTTAAATTCAGTTAATATAATCATTTGCAACCATCTACCTCAAATAAATCGAGTAAATGCAGTAAATCACTGTTTTCCAGCGTCTGAGGTAACTACTGAAGTAAGTTCTCCAGTCAGATCCGACTGTAGTTGTAGGTAAAGTTACAGTAAATGATGAATAAGCAGTGTCTCTTACCCCATGTCGTTGTAAACCCACAGGATGACAAACTCTTGTTCCTGTTATGGAGCAACTGGAGGATCTGTGGGAGCAGTAATCCGAGTCTTTCTATACGCTCAACATGCCATATATTTGCATGGCAGCAGCCGCATGCAACACCAAGCCGCCGCAGAAACTGGACGTGATGACCGGGCGCGCGTCCGCTGCTGATTTTCGCGGCGTTTTATCGGTTTGTACTGGAGTGAGCAAGCGGACTCGCGGGAAACCCCGCCGGTGTTCGCGCGCTCCGCGTTCTGATGTTTCCCGCTGCGACTTTGATTACGCGCCGCGACTGTTACTTTCGAAGCAGTTTTGCTTTGATGTCCCGATCCCGCGCCGCCGCTCTGTGCTTTTGAAGAGACTCGAGCGCGCCGTCTAGCGGACACGAGCACGGCTGCAGCTTCATTGCGGCGCGTTTAGTGATTAGAGACTGAAGCATAGTCATTAGTGATGATGTGAGTGTGACCCTGAGCGCTTTAAAGATGCAATGCGAGTTACTTTTTAGTTTAAAACAATAGCTTTTATTAAAGAATTTGGTAAAATGCCGATTTAAAATGTAAAATAGTGGCTAGATTAGACCTAAATAAATATTTAAAAACTATTAAAACAGAGATTATTTTAGACCTTAATAAAAATAATTAAAATAGTGATAAGATTAGATCTAAATAAAAATAATTAAAATTGTGATTATTTTAGACCTAAATAGATATTTAAAAACTATTAAAATAGAGATTAAATTAGATCTAAATAAAAAGTAATTAAAATAGTGATTAGATTAGACCTAAATATTAAAAAATAGTGATTAGATTAGATCTTAATAAATTTTTAAAAAAATTTAAAGTAGTGATTAGATTAGATCTAAAAAAATAATAATAATTAAAACAGCGATTAGATTAGACCTAAATAAATATTTAAAAACTTTTAAAATAGTGATCAGATCCAAATGAATATATAAAAAATATTAAAATACTGGGGTGACGCAGTGGGACAGTAGGTAGTGCTGTCCCCTAACAGCAAGAAGTTGGCGTTTCTGTGTGGAGTTTGCATGTTTGCATCTCTGTGGACTGTGGGGGAAACCGGAGCACCGGTTGTGGGGGAAACCGGAGGAAACTCATGCGAAGGCAGGGAGAGCATGCAAACTCCACACAGAAACCCCAACTGAGCCGAGGTTCGAACCAGCGACCTTCTTGCTGTAAGGCAACAGCACTACCTACTGCGCCACTGCCTCACCCCTAAATATTTAAAAACTAAATAAACTAAATAAACTAAAGTAAATAAAATAGTGAGTAGATTAGATCTAAAAAAAAAATAAAATAAAAATTGTGATTATTTTAGACCTAAATATTTAAAAAACATTAAAATTGTGATTAGATTAGATCTAAATAAATATTACAAATATTTAAATAGCGAGTAGATTAGATCTGAATAAAAAATAATTAAAATAGTGATTATATTAAACCTAAGTAAATATTTAAAAACTATTAAAATAGTGATTAGATTAGATCTAATAAAAAAAAATTAAAATAGTCTTTTTTTTTTCTTGTTGGCTTAGTCCCTTTATTAATCCGGGGTCGCCACAGCGGAATGAACCGCCAACTTATCTAGCAAGTTTTTACGCAGCGGATGCCCTTCCCGCCGCAACCCACCTCTGGGAAACATCCACACTCATACACTATGGACAATTTAGCCTAATCAGTTCACCTGTACCGTATGTGTTTGGACTGTGGTGGAAACCGGAGCACCCGGAGGAAACCATGCAAACTCCACACAGAAACGCCAACTGAGCCGAGGTTCGAACCAGTGACCTTCTTGCTGTGAGGTGACAGCACTACCTACTGCACCACTGCTTCGCCCCAAAATAGAAATTATATTAATATTTTAAAAATATTAAAATAGTGATTAGATTAGATCTAAATAAATATTTAAAAACTATTAAAATAGAGATTAGATCTAAATAAAAAGTAATTTAAATAGTGATTATTTTAGACCTAAAAAATATTTAAAAACTATTTAAATAGTGATTAGATTAGATGTAAACAAAAAAATTATTAAAATAGTGATTAGATTAGACCTAAATAAATATTAAAAAAATATTTAAATAGTGAGTAGATCCAAATGAATATCTAAAAAAATATTAAAATAGTGGGGTGACGCAATGGCACAGTAGGTAGCGCTGTCCCCTCACAGCAGGAAAAAGTTGGCGTTTCTGTGTGGAGTTTGCATGTTCTCCCTGTGTTCGCGTGGGTTTCCTTCGGGTGCTCCAGTTTCCCCCAGTCAAAAAACATGCGCAACAGGGGAATTGAGTAGGCTATAGGGGAACAGGGTAAACTCTGTTCATATTTCTGCCACGCCACAGAGCGGCATCTGAATAGTTTCATTTTAAATAACACGTCTGGTGTGAGATACTTCCAACTGTCATGTGTGTGCTGTGTCATGGCGCCTGGCGGCACATACGGTGTGTGACATCCTCTAGCGTCCCACCAGTGCCAATATACAGCCATATCGCACTGCTACTCGTGTGATATAGCATTTCTATAACAGTTTGATGGCACAATCGTGTATATAAATAAGAAAATCAAACATGGAGAGTGTAAAAACCCTTTTGTAAGAGAAACTACTTTATTTCCCCTGTTCATTCACATCTGCAGCTGATGTCAGAACAGCAGAAACCGTTACTAATTCACCAACTTCACTTTAGAGCTATAGTGAACGATCCTCTATAGCGTAATTTCTAAAGTGACTACAAAACAGCTGATTTTGCTGACATTTTAAGATTATAATGCTGAACAGCATGAAATGCCATCAGTCTACAGAGATTTCTCAGTATTTCTCTGTTGCAATCGGGAGATCACAATAATTAACCCTTAAAAAGCCAAAGCAAAGCAAACACGATCAGAAACACTACCAGACTGTGGTATAAATACAGCACTACAACATACTAAAGAGAGAGAGATCGACTTAGAAAGTCATTTACCTGTTCTGTGATGATTTGATCAGCTGTAGTTTGAAATATGAAAAGACGCTGTTTTCCCTCCTATAAGGGCTTATTATGCAGACTCTGTCGCCATCTTGTGGTGCAACCGTCTTTGCTCTGCTCAGTATAAAAGGCTCCGATCTCCAAAGTTAGGTATTTAAAATAGGCCCTATCCTAATAAATAAACTGCATAGTTACAGTCTAAACAACTATCATCTCACCTAAAACAATCCAAAGGTACATTATGTTGTCCATCAGCTGCAATATTTGTCAAACTGTAGTGAGTTTATTGATCTGCTGTCACTCTATGTGGGCGGAGTAAAACACAAGGGTGAAGAGGATGTAAGAGTGCTGATATTGCACAGCTATCAGCCAATCAGATTCAAGAACCAGACCATCTCTCTCTCTCTCTCTCTCTCTCTCTCTCTATATATATATATATATATATATATATATATATATATATAAATATATACACACACACACACACACATATATACACACACACACATATATATTGGTGTAACGGAGTCAAATTTGTAGGCGGTCTTGCTCGCTCAAGCTATTTCAACTCTGCCCACTAATGTTCTATAGGATTGAGATCAGGGCTTTGTGATGGCCACTCCAAAACATTCACTCTGTTGTCCTTAAAGCACGTTAACTAATTTGGCAGTGTGCTTAGGGTCATGGTCTGTTTGGAAGACCCAATTGTGGTCAAGTTTTAATTTCCTGGCTGATGTCTTGAGATGTTGCTTCAGTATTTCTCCATAATGTTCTTTCTTCATGATGCCATCTATGCTGTGAAGTGGACCAGTCCCTCCTGCAGCCAAACAGCCCCACAACATGATGCTGCCGCCCCCATACTTCACAGTTGGGATGGTGTTCTAGGCTTGTCAGCTTTCCCCTTTGTCCTCCAAATGTAACACTGGTCATTATGGCCAAACAGTTCAGTCTTAGCTCCATCAGAGCACAGGACATGTCTCCAAACATGAGTCTTTTCCCAGTGTCATTTAGCTTATTGTAATCTGACTTTTTTTGTTGATTCTGGCTTGATGATTTTCCCATGTTGTCACACAAGGAAGCAGTGTGTGTTTGAGGATTTCCTTAAATACTATTCTACAGTTGTGCCTCCAGTTAACTCAAATGTTGTCAATTAGCCAATCAGAAACTTCCAAAACCTTGACACTATCATCTGAGCTTTTTCAGAGGCAGAATAATCTTATTGTATGTCAACTTGACATTCCAGAAAGGTTATAACAATTTCTCAAACTATCCCTCATTATTCTGCTATTAAGCAGAACAGAAACTAATTTGATCATCCTGACTAACCTAAAAGAGAAAAAGTTTAGTCACATTAACATCTGACTGTTTTTAAATGGTTATGTGACTTTTATACAGTGCATGTAAACTTCTGCTTTCGACTGTATAGTTTATTAGGTTATTAAATCCAATTAGTCTGATCACATGAGATTTTGATTAATGAAAATGCCACATCAGATCTTTTCCATTAGAAATAACATAGCATGAAATTTCTGATCAATACAAATAAACGTCTCACTTTTAAGGTTAGTAAACATTATTCCCATTGTGCATTTCTCATTTTCAGTTACCACAGAAGCCAGATTAGGGAGAAAAAAAAACAACAAGATTACTTTAACACCAAAATGTACACCACGTTAAAAATGAATTTACAAACAGACAAAAACCCCAGAACATT